CTCGACCTTCTTGAGCTGTGAAAGTCCGAGGTCACGTCCAAGGAAAAGTACATCATCGAACTCCGCGAGCAGCTGGCCGATCAGGACCGTCGTCACAAGGACCTTGTCACGCAGCTGCATGCGGAAGCCTGCCCCAGTCCGGAATCTGAGGTGGTTCCTTCTCTGCGCCTTCGTGACCTGGTCGACGGGAAGGATGCCATCAACTTCGACTACGGCGACATTTTCGCTGACGTTGAGGAGTTCGAGCTGTCCACCGAGGACCGCGAAGCCCTCGGCGCCCGCAAGAAAGAGCTCGAGGACGGGCTCAAGGCACTCGCGAAGAATCTCTTCGGGGAGGCCATCAGCAAGCTCGACGCCATCAAGAAGGCCCATCTTGAGCACGTGGGCAGCCTCCAGAAAAAGCGCAAGGTGGGCGAGGCAGCGGAGGTTGCCGGCGATGGTGAAGGCGACGCCCCAGCCGCAACAGGAGGAGCTGCAGGTTTGACAGCGACTGGAGGATTTCGGGCACCTGGTCCAGCAGCCGAGCCAGAAGCAGCCCCAGCGCCGGCGGCAGCAGGCTCGGGCGAGGACGTCCGCACGCGCGCTGGCAGGGGGCGGCTTGGCTCGCCCCCCCCCCCCCCCCCCCCCGCAGGCGCGCTAGCTTGCGGGGGGCGTCGTCGGCAGCATCTTCATTGTCAAAGGGCCCCCAGGTTCTTTCCTCAGCGTCGCCAGCTGCGGCACCACCTGGAGCCCCTCCCTTCTGTGCGCCTGCTTCTGTCTCACCGCCAGCGTCTGCGCAGGCCTCTCCTCATCAGGCCCCCGGGCCCCATGTCAGCTCCAGAAACGAGTTTTTAAGAGCACCCCCCAAGCCCGAGCCCGAAGTTTTTTCATTGTCAGTAGATTCTGTCAACTGCACGGCCTGGTCATCCGTCAAGTCTTGGTTGCTTACTACATGTTCCTCTGTGGCACTCGTCCAAGAACACAGGCTAGGGGACAAAGAATCGCTCGACGAGGCTTCCAAATGGGCTCTGGATAATGGGTGGAAGGGGTCGTTCTTGAGTGCTCTCCGGACCTCGGAAGGGGGGCTTTTCAGGGAGGGGGGCTGTCTTGGCTCGGTCATCCCTGGGACTCCACGCCCCCCCTGAAGGCCACGTAGTTTCGGACTCCCGGGCTGTTCAAGGATACGTGCATGTCCCTGGAGGTGACACCGTGCTGATGAGCAGCGTTTACTTGTACGATTCCGAAGATTTGAGCGAGCGCAACTTGCAGTTGCTGGCCAGCGTTGGCAGCAGCATCGGGCTTACCCAGTGCCCGTACTTGATAGGAGGGGACTTCAATATGGAACCCACGGTTTTGAAGGATAGTATGTTCGCCACCCACCTCACCGCCAACATCGTGTCCCCAGACGTTCCTGGAACCTGTGTTAGCAGCGGGGGAGGTTTGCGAGTTTTGGACTATCTCGCGGTTTCTGCAGGCCTCAGCAAGGCCATCTCTAGCATCGACATTGCCCACAACTCGGACATCAAGACACACTGCCCCGTCACCTTGAGGTTCCATCCTCACTTGTCGGACCTCTACGCACTTACTTTCGCCAAGATTCCGAAGATAGACGTCGACGCGCCGATCGGTCCTCAGTCAGCGCCGCCTGATGCGTCCGAAGCTCTCGACTGTGCTCAATATGGCTTTCAGCTCGTTCGCGATCGAGCTCGTCGCAGTGATATGCAGCGCCATTTGGATACTCTCTACCACCTTTGGGCAGACTTGGCAGAGGTGGAGCTTGCAGCCAGTCGGCACCAAGAGTTTCGAGGCCAGGGGCTTCGCGGCAAGCCTCCCCGGCTGATCTGGACGCAGGTCTTTGGGCGAGAGAGCGCGGCTTGGCAGATTCGGCAGCCTGGCCTCTATGCGTTCAGATGGCTGGAGAGGTCATTTCGCGCTGTGCTGGCTGCTGCTGCGCAGGACTATCCCGGCAGCGGCATCGCTTCATTCGTCGGGGCGTTGCGGCAGCCACCGGCCCCCGTCAGGGACCATTTGCACGAGTTCCAGGACATCGTTGATATGGTTCAGACTTTCTTAGAACGTTTTCCTGGAAATGATTTGGATTTGGATGCTGGAGCGGTTATTCTTGAGCGTTTGGAGGTCGGGCTCACGGAGTACGCGATCAAGTCCAGGGAGGAATCCAGGAAGTCTTGGAGAGCATGGCTGCTCGACGGCGTCGATCGTGGAGGCCGCCGCGCACATAATTGGACCAAGGAGCAGAAGCCGTGGCGGCCTACCACGACGCTTTCAGCCCATGGTCAAGTTGTTTCAGATCCTTGCTCACTTTTGGCATCTGAGGCTGCCAAGTTCGCTGGGTCGTGGGAGATCAAGGGCACTCGGGGGCCCGAAGGCCCAGTGGAGTATCTGGAGCTCCTGGAGCCCATCACCCCCGACAGGCTCCGCGAGGTGTCCAGGTCGCACAGCAAGTTCTCAGCGACCAGCTTAGATGGATTCCACTGCCGTCATTTCGACTCGCTGTCCGAGCCCTTGCTGCTGGTGCTCTCCTCCCTGCTCGCGCTGATGGAGTGCTCTTCTATCTTGTCCAGGCAGATTCAGATCGCGCTCTTTTTCTGCTTGGTAAACCGGCAGGCGGCTTCCGGCCGATAGGCCTCTTTAGCGCGGTCTACCGAGTCTGGGGGCGAGCGAGGCGCCCTCGTGCAGTCTCTTGGGAATCTGCACACCCTCGTGCTTACTTAGCTGATTCAGCATTTTGTGGCGCCAGCGACGTCGTCTGGCGTCAGGCCGTGCGAAACGAGCTCGGAGTCCGTAGAGGTGCCACAGCTGTTAGTGTACTTTGGGACTTGCACAAGTTCTACGAACGAATCCGTCTGGACGTCCTCTTAGACAGAGCTGAATTCCTGGGATTCCCGAAAGCCTTGGTTCGACTTGCGGTCCGTGCTTACCGAGGCCCTAAATTCGTCACACTTTCGAACATGGTGGACGGGCCACACTTTGCACAGCTAGGTGTGATAGCTGGCTGCTCATATGCCACTACATTTCTACGCATCTACCTCATTCCCGCCTTGGACACCTTATCCCTCCCTCGTTGTATCTACCTCACGGTATATATTGACGACTATGGTCTTTCAGGGACGGGGTCGGAACGTACCATCACAGAGGACATCAAGGATGCAGCGGCCCAGCTAGGCGACATCATCCGCAACGAGTTGCATAGTTCAATTTCAGAGGACAAGGCTGCCGTCATCAGCTGGTCCACCAAGGTGGGGGACCATGTGCGCTCATTCTTCGGCGGCTTCGGAGGGACCTCCAATTTTGCCGTCAACCTCGGCGTGGACGACACCGCCGGCAGGCCCCGCAGGCCCCCGAAAAGGAGTGCAACATTTAAGGAAAGGCAGCGCACCTTCCAAGTTCGTGCTAAACGTATTCGGCGCGCCAGAGATGTTCTGGGACGCCACGCCAAGAACATCTTCGTTTCAGGAGGCATGTCAGCAGCTACCTTCGGCAGCGAAATCCACGGAATCTCAGATTTCGAGCTGGGAATATTCGGAGGGCCTTTGGACGATGCGTCAAACCTTCAGCTGGCTCCCGGTCCCTCACGGCGGTGACGATCCTGGAGAACGATCCCTATTGGTACCCACATGTTGCCCCAGTGGTTCGCTACTCGAAGGAAGTATGGACCAACCAGCTTCGTGAGTTCGATTTCTCGGTGCCGTTTGCGCAGTTGCGGGAGGCGTGGGCTTCTGCGTTCGCTGCGGCGAGCCCTTCCTGGAAATCCTGCTCCGGCCCAGTGATGGCCATGCGGTTATCATTACTTCGGATTGGTTGGCATATGACAGATTTTGTGACTCTTGTTTCAGATATGGATGTCCGTATAAGCTGAACGACGACCTCCCCGAAATTAGTTAAGAAATTGCTCCATGAGGGCGCCATTCGTGAACTCCAGAGATCAGCAGGGGCCAAGCTAGGATTCCAGGACAGGGCGTGCTTCGACGTTGTCGGCTCGGTGCTGCGCAGCAAGAAGTACAGCCCGCACGCCAAGGGCTGTGTCAAGGCCTTATGCAGCGATGCGATCTGGCCGAGAGTGCGCGCCGCCGAGGCCGGATACCAGCTCAGCAGCGTGCTCTGCCCGCTGTGCCGGGATGCTCTTGATACGATCTTTCACAGGCTGTGGCAGTGTGAAGTTGTTGCGGCTGAGCGTAGTGAAACGGCCCCACAGGATGTGATCGATTCTGCCCTTGCGGTCGATCAGAACAGCGACGACTTCCAATTATACACTAAGGCCATTTTCCCCCACCCAGGCGATCAGCTTCCAGGACCAGTAAAGGACGGTGGCATCCAGGTTACACGGGCTGACGACCCGGACTCGACCAGTACTGAGATCCAGGGCCATGTATTGTTTGACGGCTCTGCTTTCAAATCTTCGATTTCGGAGCTTGACAGGGCTGGGTGGGGGCTAGCAGTTTTAGACGATGACGGCAAGCATCTGGTTTCGATTTCTGGCCCTATATGGGCTGAGTTTCCGCAGACCTCCCAGGCCGGAGAGTACGGGGCTTTGTCCGCGGGCAACGAAATCCTTGCGGGGCCCTCCCAGGGATACAGTGACTGCCTGAATGTAGTGAAAGCTTTCGCTCTCCCGCCAGTCGTCCAGACTTCTTACCGACGGCCACATGCGGGAATGTTCCTGCGTATGCGCAGCACTTTGTTTCAAACCGTTCATAAGGTAAAAGGTCACCAGGTTGAGAGCGATGATTTAACTTATTTTCAGCGGTTTTGTAAGGCAGGCAATAATGCCGCCGACGCCGCGGCCAAGAGAGGCGCAGCTGCCCACCCTCGTGCGTCCGATGAACAGTGGCAGCTTGTCTCCAGGCGCGTGAAGATAGCTCAGCATGTCTGTAAACTCGCTCACACGCTGATGCCGCTGTGGCCTCGGTTGAATTTAGACGGTGTTGGGCGTGCGCCCAACCCGTCTCCCCCTCCGAAGGCCGTTTCCTCGCACCCGCATGCTTGGATTTGGTTTGGATCTTTTTGGAGGTGCCAGAATTGTTTTCGCTTTAAAAGGCAGGTGAGTAGGCCGCCTGACTCTGGGTGTTCTGGCAAGCTCCCGCCTGTGGCCTTGACGCTTCAGGATCGAGGGCATAAAATGGTTGCCCTTTTATGTTCCAACTCCACGATGCTGTATGTTTGTACTCGCTGTTATGGGTACACCAGTGGAGGCCAATTCAAAAACTCAGGAAACAGCGCACTCCTGAGGTCCCAGGGCGCCTGTCTAAGTCCGCTGCTGCTGTGGTGAGCTTTCAAGCGAGGCCTTCACCCCAAAACTGCTGGTGTCACCTGCGAGTTTTTCAATCCCGAGGCGGTTGAGTCTGAGTCCTCTCTCCAGGAAGTCGCCGCACAGAGGCAATAGATGCCCAGGCTGATGCTGGTAGACGGTCTGGATCAGACTAGCTTGCTCTAATATTCTCCCTGTGGTTTCATCTGCAGGCACCCGTCTTTATACATATATATATATATACTCCTCCTCCTCCTCCATCCTCCATCCTCCATCCTCCATCCTCCATCCTCCTTCCTCCTCCTCCTGCTCCTGCTCCTCCTCCTCCTCCTCCTCCGCCTCCTCCTCCTCTTCCTCCTGCTCCTCCTCCTCCTACTCCTCCTCCTCCTCCTCCTCCTCCTCCTCCTCCTCCTCCTCCTCCCTGTCCTCCTCCTCCTCCTCCGCCTCCTCCTCCGCCTCCTCCTCCGCCTCCCCCCCTGTCGCCCCCGCCTTCCCGCCTTTCCCTGCCTCCTCCTTTCTTCCTCCCCCCCTCCTCGGGCGGTGCGCCGCTGCGCCGGCGCCCGACAGGCCGTCACCGCGGTGCAGCAGCAGGCGTCGTCCGACCGGGCAGAGGCCGAGGCGAGGGCCCGGAGGAGGGAGGGGGCAGGAGGAGGGTGGGGGAGGGAGGGAGGGACGGGGACCAGGATGGAGAGGGGAGGAATATGAGGAGTTGGTTTACTGGTGTGTTGGTTGATTGGTGCATGAAGGTGGAGGTACGTTTGGACCCCTCCCTGCAGCCGTCTTCGTTGGCCGAGGGGCTGCAGGGAGGTCCTCGGCCCCCTCCGTTGGCTATTGATGCCGTGAAGTATTGGTGTATTGGTGTATTGGTGGGAGAGGGCGACCCCAGCGGCCCCTATGATGGCAGCCGCAGGGGGTGTGAGGCCTATGGTGGTCCTCACTGGTGAAGCCTATGATGGTCCTCACCGGGGTGGGGGTGGGGGAAGAAGGCAGAAACTCGAAGCGGATGTCCGGCAGCAACGTCCTGGGGGGATACCTGAAAAAGAGGACTTAAAAACAACGTCTGTCCTCCGCCTATGTTCTAGAGGAGCCCCGTTCAAAAAGCAGAGGCAAAGAGAGAGAGGGAGAGAGAAGAGAGCGAGGGAGAGAGGGAGAGGGAGAGAGAGGGAGAGAGGGAGAGAGAGAGAGAGAGAGAGGCAGAGACGAGGACAAATGTGCACGCCTCGGGGGGGGGTCGGCCCCCGGACCTGGAAGATACGAAATACACAGATTTCGTATCACAAGGTAGCTGGCAGCGAAGCTGCATCATGACACCCCGGGAGCGTGCAGCGGCAGGGAAGCACCACCTGGAGTGCGAAAGCAAAACATGGTGACGTTAAACCGGCCGAAGTCCGGTGACCAGAGGAGGCCCCCAGAGGCCGACAAGGGTCACAGGCCGGAGGTATCCACAACCTGTACCCCCGCGGGTGCGATTCATTTTTTCCGCCAGCACTGATGGACCGGTACACCCAAAGGCACGGAGATTCGACAGCGGACAGGCCGGTACACCCAAAAACAATGGATTGATCGCTACACCCAAAGGCACTTATTGGCTTTATACCCGCAGGGGCATGCACCCATAACCCACGACACACACCACACAGATACACACACACACACACGCACGCACGCACGCACGCACGCACGCCGCACGCACGCACGCACGCACGCACGCACGCACACACACACGACCACCCCCCCGGGGGCACACGACGAAAAAGACACAGCAAGAAGAGGACGCCTCGAACCTCGGTGCTGCGGCCAAAGTCCTGTCAGGGGCACCTGAAACGGGAAACCTGAAAGAGGAAAGCGGCCTGACCGGGGGACCCGAAGCCGAAGCAAAGCGACAGGGGGGGACGATCCAAGGCGGCCCCTGGACAGCTCTCGGCGAGGGCCGCTGCTCTGGACGTGTAGATTGGACGGCGGCTATACCCATCCTTAGAGAAAGGCGGGGGGGGGGAGAGGAGGAGGGGAGTAGGCCCAGCCGCGCACCTGCGCCCCAAGTGGCAGACGGAGGTGGCTGGGAGGGTTTTACATACCCATCCTTGGAGAGCTCGGTTAAAGGGCGGGGAGCGGGAACGACCTCATGAGTGACGCCGCGGCGGCACATGTGACGTCGCGGCGGCACGGGTCGAACCGTCACCCTTGGTGTACTGGTGTACTGGGTTGGCAACTGACGCCACAGAGTATTAGATTATTGACATTGACAGGCACCGTCACCCGGCAGGGGATAAATCCCGTTCACGGCCCCATGGAGGAATATGAGGAGTTGGTTTACTGGTGTGTTGGTTGATTGGTGCATGAAGGTGGAGGTACGTTTGGACCCCTCCCTGCAGCCGTCTTCGTTGGCCGAGGGGCTGCAGGGAGGTCCTCGGCCCCCTCCATTGGCTATTGACGCCGTGAAGTATTGGCGTATTGGTGTATTGGTGGGAGAGGGCGACCCCAGCGGCCCCTATGATGGCAGCCGCAGGGGGTGTGAGGCCTATGGTGGTCCTCACTGGTGAAGCCTATGATGGTCCTCACCAGGGTGGGGGTGGGGGAAGAAGGCAGAAAGTCGAAGCGGATGTCCGGCAGCAACGTCCTGGGGGGATACCTGAAAAAGGGGACTGAAACACAACGTCTGTCCTCCGCCTATGTTCTAGAGGAGCCCCATTCAAAAAGCAGAGGCAAAGAGAGAGAGAGGGAGAGAGAAGAGAGAGAGGGAGAGAGGGAGAGGGAGAGAGAGGGAGAGAGGGAGAGAGAGAGAGGCAGAGACGAGGACAAATGTGCACGCCTCGGGGGGGGGTCGGCCCCCGGACCCGGAAGATACGAAATACACAGATTTTGTATCACAAGGTAGCTGGCAGCGAAGCTGCATCATGACACCCCGGGAGCGTGCAGCGGCAGGGAAGCACCACCTGGAGTGCGAGGGAAGGAGGGAGAGAGGGAGATGTAGGAGGGAGAGAGGGATGGAGGAGGGAGAGAGGGATGGAGGGAGGGAGGGAAGGAGGGGAGGAAGGGAGGGAGGGAGGGGAGGAAAAAAGGGGGAGGGGGAGGGGAGGGGGAGGGGAGGGGAGGAGGAGGGAGGAGGAGGGGAGGAGGAGGAGGAGGAGGAGGAGGAGGAGGAGGAGGAGGAGGAGGAGGAGGTGGAGGAGTAGGAGAGGAGGAGGAAGAGGAGGAGGAGGAAGGAGGAGGAGGAGGAGGAAGGGAGGGAGGGAGGGGAGGAAAAAGGAGGGAGAGGGGAGGGGAGGGGAGGGGGTAGGGGGAGGGGGAGGGGGAGGTGGAGGAGGAGGAGGAGGAGGAGGAGGAGGAGGAGGAGGAGGAGGAGGAGGAGGAGGAGGAGGAGCAGGGGGAGGAGGAGGAGGATGGAGGATGGAGGATGGAGGATGGAGGATGGAGGATGGAGGATGGAGGATGGAGGATGGAGGAAGGAGGATGGAGGATGGAGGATGGAGGATGGAGGATGGAGGATGGAGGATTGAGGATGGAGGAAGGAGGAGGAGGAGGATGAGGAGGAGGAGGACCAGTGCAAACCCAAGGCTCATCAACGATATCGCAACAAACGCTCTCTCCAAGTTCCCTCGTCGTAGTCACCTACAGCGAGTCATTTTCACTCAGGAAAGTGCCTCGTTGGAAGACATCCGTTTGAACATCGGGAACTGTGCCAGAACACAACTCCTGTAATTACAACGCCGCAAACGACGATGACTGTTGCGTTCTGACAGCCCTGAAGCACCAGAGCGTCATTCCTGGGACTTCAACACCGCGAATCAACGTGACTGCTGCGCCCTGACATTCTGACATCGTGCTTGCCCGGCGGCGGCAGCTGTGGCCGCAGCGCGGTGCGGGCGGGGGGGCCGAACCGCAGGCCATGCGCGCCTCGATGCGCGACCTGCGCGCGGAGGCCGAGTGCTTCTCCGCCGCGGGGGCCGCGAAGATGGCGGTGCTGGAGGCCAGGGGAGGGAGTGAGGAGGAGGAGGAGGAGGAGGAGGAGGAGGAGGAGAGGTAGGAGGAGGAGAGGTAGGAGGAGGAGAGGAGGACGACGACGACGACGAGGAGGAGGAGGAAGAGGATTACACCATGGAGGGAGAGCAGGAGGAGGCGGCCTCGCCCTCCTCGTACGCCTCTCCTACCCGGGTCCTCGTCATGCCATTGTCGTCGTCCTCATCCTATTGTTCGTTCGTCCTGATACTCATCGTTCGTTGAAAGTCGGTATTGTTGGAGCCTCATATTCCAATCTACTGCAAGCGCCTTCCTACTTCAATGATCGAGTGGCTTCACATTTTCCGTCCTCATTAAGGGGCACGCGGACACCCAAACTATTTTCAACGCCTTCCTACTTTATGTTTCTGCCTACCTCTTCCGACCGATGGGTACGTTCTCACATTCGTCTCTGCACGATCGCCACTGCTTCTCGAGTCGTCCACGCCCCCTTGAGAAGCCATGCGACGACTGGTGCTCTGCATGCGTTATATTGGTTTCGAATAATTGCCAGGCACCACACTCATTGGCCAGTATATCACGTGCCATTCTCTTGGCTGCAACGTCCGCGAGTTTCTAAGCTATGCCTAATTGCACACGCGACGGCTCCTTTTCGCATATGTTCCTCCTCAGCGTCATCGGGTTAGTCATGCTCGGATGGGCTCTGTCAGCAGAAGCGTGTCGTACCATTCCTCCTCTTCGAGCTAACAGCCAAACTATGCGTCGACACGATGTTCCTCCTCCTGCCCGCCCTCTGCCTTCTCTTCGTCGTGCTTCTCCCTCTCCTCGTCCTCCTCGTCATCCTCGTGCTGCTCCCCCTTCTCCGCCTCCTCTTCCCTCCGCCGATCCTCTCGTCGTGCTCCTCCCCCATGCTGTCGTACCTCGCTCGCGTGGCCGTCCTTGCCCTCGCCCTCCCCAGTACCTCCTGGAGGGGAGAGGAGGAGGGGAAAGGGAGAGGGAGAGGGAGAGGGAGAGGGAGAGGGAGGAGGAGGGAGGAGGAGGGAGGAGGAGGGAGGAGGAGGGAGGAGGAGGGAGGAGGAGAGAGGAGGAGGAGGAGGGAGGAGGCCCTCGGTCTCTTCTCGCCCCCCCCCCTGGCACCGCGGCGGCGCCGGCGGCCAGGCCACCGTGGCCGAGCTGCACGGGGCGCTGCAGGCGCCCTCGCCCCCCCCCCACCCGAAGCCTCCCTCTCTCTCTCTCTCTGCGGCCGCTCGCGCCGTCGCGGGGGTACGGACCCACGCCCTCCTTCCCCCAGTCATTGTCGGCTCCAAGACGGTGGAGGAGGAGGAGGAGGAGGAGGAGGAAAAGGAGGAGGAGGAGGAGCAGGAGGAGGAGGAGGCTGGAGGAGGAGGAGGAGGAGGAAGAGGAGGAGGAGGAGGAGGAGGAGGAGAGGGAGGTCCGTAGCCATTTTGGCTCAAGGCCTTTCCGTAGGCCCCCTGGTCCTGGACCTTGTCCCTCGGCGTACCCCCATCCCGGGCGGGCGTGAGGGCCTTGGGGGGGCAGGGCTTTTGGCTCACGGAAATTATGGCGCGGGAGGGCGATGGCGTTGATCGCCCAGATCGGCGGACTCCGGCTGCCAGACGTGCTGCCAAGCAGTGGGCTCGCCGTTCAGCTGACAGAGCAATCGTGAACTTATCGGAGGAACTGGCGAGAGAGCGCGGCACGCATGGGCATCTTCTGCAATGTTTCGCCGCCATCTTCGACAACCCCGAGCTTGCGGATCGGGTCCTCGCCATCGTGCCGCATCTTCTGTCCGTCATTCGCGGTGAGGTTCCGTTGCTGTCCGATGCGCGCAGGCGCAATGTGGCCCTCCATGCACACGCAGGTGGTGCTAGTGTTGCACAAGCCTCGGACAAGCAGGTGAAGGGCTTTCAGAAGGGGTCCCGACTGGAGTGCAGGCGATTCGAGTTCAACCCCAATTCCGAGGTTTTCGTCCCCTTGGCGTGCGGCGGTGCGCAGTCCACGGCAGCTGCAGGTGGGGCGAACGAACACACGGAACTCAAATCTGTTGATGAGGATACCTTTGTAGAGCAAGCTTTGCCGTCATCAGAGCGTGATGTGCACGAGGCAGCGGACGCTCAGGAGCGCCTGGCCCCTCCTGCCATTGGGCTGTCTGCGGATTCGCGTGTGCCGCAGGAGAGCTCGGACACGGCCATGTCGGCGAGCAGTTGCGATTGTTCTGGGTACATTCATGAGATCGAGCAACAGCGTCAGCTATGGGGTCGAGAGCACCCTGGCCGCGTCGCCCAGCCGTTCGTGCAGCGGTTGGCGCGTGTGGCCCAGTTTCCCTCCGATGGGGTGCCCCCCCCCCCCACACGGAGGACGGCTCTGAGGGTGTGCAGGCGGGATTGGCAGGGCTGCGCGGCGATTGCCCCTTTCTCGACAAGAGCGACGGCCTCTCCCACCATGCTGTACACGATGTTCGTGAAATCGAATTGCAATACTCTGTATGGACATCCACCCAGACGAGGAGACCCTTCATCCGTAGGCGACGCCGTTTGGATTACATTCGGGATGTTGAACTGGAGTATTCTGTGTGGACAAGCAGCCAGACGAGGCAACCTTTCATCTGCAGGCGCAACCGTGTGGATTCACGAACCCAGGGGCAAGGCAGATCGATTGGTATCCCAGGTATTTCGCCTCCCTTTGATGATGCAAGCTGTCCACAGCAGTGAGCTTTCTTTTGAGTAGCACACATGCCCCCTTTGCAGTATTTGTATGTGTACGCGCTTGCCACATGCATTGTAGGTGTGTTGTTGTGCTAGTTGTGCTTGCCCTCTTTGTCAGAGGTAGACCAACCATGCAGCGTCGTGTATTATTGTGTGACTCGTGGAGTGCCTCTGGTGCCTCGGGATGCGCGATGACGATGAGGAGGAGAGGGAGGAGGCGGAGGAGGCGGAGGAGGAGGCGGAGGAGGAGGAGGAGGAGGAGGCGAAGGAGGAGGAGAGGGAGGAGGCGGACTAGGGAGGAGGAGGAGGAGGAGGAGGAGGAGGAGGAGGAGGAGGAGGAGGAGGAGAGGGAGGAGGCGAAAAAGGAGGAGGAAGAGGAAGGAGGAGGCGGACTAGGAGGAGGAGGCGGAGGAGGAGGAGGAGGGGAGGACGCGCGGCCTCGAGCAGCGTTGGGTTCCGCTCGGGTTCCTTCCTTTCCCTGCCTGGCCAGCAGCTCGGGCTCGCCCCCCATCCTTGGCGACAGTCGGCCCGACCTCAGTCGGCCTCGAGCGAGGGGGGGGCGTGAGAAGGAGGAGGCCTTCGCAGAAGGTTCGGAAGTCCCCCGGCCTTCCGAGAGGTGTTCTAAGCCTTTCCCGAAGACAAACCACCATTTCCTAGAAGGCGCGAGGGCTTCTGAGAAGTCCCGCCGCCTTCGGAAAAGTAGGGGAACACAAAGTGACATAAACATAAAAACTCGGAGGTCCGCGCGGATTTCTCGGATCGGCGCTGGGGGCCCTTCGGCGGCGTCTCCGGCGCCGCCCCTGGCGCGCTCCGCGCGCCAGGGAGGGGGGGGTCCAGCGCCGATCCGAGAGATCCGCGCGACTTCCGAGTTTTTCTGTTTATGCCACTCTTTGTCCCCTAAAAAGGCCTTCCCTTTCTCGCTTCCCCCCTTCGCGCGCCGCCAAGACCGGGCGGAGCCGTCGTCGGGGGCTCTCCGGGCCAGGCCGGCCAAGGGGCCGGAGGCGAGGGAGCCCGTGCGCCGCCCCCCCCGCGGCAGCTCCCGCGGAGACCAGAGCACGCGCGTCATCGGCGGCGGGCTGCGCTTCAAGCCCAGGGCTTCTGAGGGCCAAGGACGACGTCGGGGTGGTGTGGTGTATAGTGTTAGGTCGGGCCTGTCCCCCTACAGGGGGATTTTAAACTAAAGGTTTTTTTTTTCATCCTCAAAAATAGTCCAAAAGGGCCAAAAGATAATCAAAAAATAGTCCCCCGACTGTTTGTGGATTATGTTTAGGTTGTTTGTTTTTTGGCGAAAATCCCCCTGTAGTGGACGACGTCGGGGTGGTGTGGTGTATAGTTTGGACGCCCGAAATGGGTACGGGAAGAATGGGTACAATGCCCAACAGCAAATGCTGTCCCAAGCCAACAGCGGCCGCTGTTGGGCAGGCGGCCTTCTGTCTCGAACGGACACAGGCCGCGGCGGCGTGGACAGCGAGTCCTGTTCAAGATGAACAGGAACTGTTGTTGGGCATTGTACCCATTCTTTCCGTACCCATTTCGGGCGTTCAGATGTAGTGAGCGTTTTTTTATTTGTTTTGCCGCTCGGCGCGGGCCCCCAAACCCCCCCCCCCCCCCCCCCCCCTGGAGTGGATCGTGGCTGCTTTTGGGGCGCCTGTGTCGAGCAGGTGGGGTTCAGGAGGGAAAGAAACACACAGACACAATGAATCGTCGATTCCCCCAAAAATATTTGAACATATGGGAAGTGGGAGGGAAGACAAAAACCCAGAAAACATTGGAAAATATGCGGACTCCTGTTATTTGTGTGTATTTATTTGTGTGTCCCGGGGCCCCTTTCAGGGGTTTCCCCACAAGGGACGTACTGTCCCAAGCAGCCGCACCAAGCAGAGGTCCGGAGCCAAAGCCCCGCCCCTTTCCCCCCCTCCTTCCGCCCAATGTCGATCCGGGGTGGACAGAAACCCCAACAGTGACACGTCGATTAGTGAACTGTCCGTTTTCGGTTTTCGAGAGGGCGCCGTGGCCGTTATTCTCTAGGCTTGCGCCCGCCAGGTTTGGGCCTCAGGTCGTTTTCACTAAACCACGTTTTGCTAAAGGGGGGTCTGTCCATCCCCGAGTCGAAACGCCGAACACCAAAGCGTTGACTGTTTTTTCCTTCGTTATCTGGGGGAAGCCTTCGGGGCTTTTTGAGGCCGACGTCGGGTTGGTGTGGTGTATGCTCTCTTCCGCGTTTTTTTTCCGGGGGGGGGAACCGCGAGACATGCAACGCGTATGCACCATGCATCCCGTAGAACTGCACCAGGGCCCGCCCTCCTGGGAAATTCCCAGCCTCGGGGGGAGGAGGGAGGAGGGAGGAGGGAGGAGGGAGGAGGGAGGCCGGAGAGTCGGTGTACAGAGGTCGGGCTCCGTTTTTCCCTGCGCCACTGGGCGGGAGCGCCCGGCCCCGGAGGGGGCCGGCAGGGCGGGTCGCGCCCGTGTCCCCGTCTTTGTCGGGCGGCAGACGCAGGCCAGCCTGCAGCGCACGCGCGCCCATCCCTGCTTCGGGGGTGGGCAGACCTCCTACAGCGAGCGGCCTGAATAAGGAACACGTGCTTTTCCAAAGGGGCTCGGTCGTTCCTCAGATTTTACAGGCGTTATGTGCAGTTCCTTGTGCGTTATCTGTTATGTATCGTTCCTTATGCGTTATTCCTTGGATAAAAAAGGGGCTTCGTTCCTTATGTATCGTTCCTTGGGTCAGGCCGATGACTGTACCCTGACGCGTCGATGAAGGAATCGGTCGTGCTCGGTTTGCGAGAGGACGTCGCGGCCGCCATTTCTGCGTGCCCAGGTCCGCCGGTTTCGGTCCCGGGCCGTTTTCACTGAGGGGAGGTGAGCTAAAAGGTCGGGGGTGGACAGAACCCCCAACAGTGACACGTCGTTTAGTGAATTGTCCGTTTTCGGTTCTCGAGAGGGCGCCGTGGCCGTTATTCTCTAGGCTTGCGCCCGCCAGGTTTGGGCCTCAGGTCGTTTTCACTAAACCACGTTTTGCTAAAGGGGGGTCTGTCCATCCCCGAGTCGAAACGCCGAACACCAAAGCGTTGACTGTTTTTTCCTTCGTTATCTGGGGGAAACTTCCGGGGCTTTTTGAGGCCGACGTCGGGTTGGTGTGGTGTATATTTTCTTCCGCGTTTTGTCCGGGGGGGGAAACCGCGAGGCATGCAACACGTATGCACCATAAATTCCGTATAATTGCCGATCCCCGAAAAGGTTGTCCATCCCTGAAAAAGGAGGTTTGTCCAGCGCCGACTGTTATTGCCATCACTTTCGCTCGGTGGCGACCTCGAGGATTCTGCTGGGTCCGTGGAGGCGCGTCCGCAGCTGTGGCCATCGTCTCGGGCGGGTCGATCTTGGGGGCGGATAGTTTCTAGACGCCTCGCGCAACCCCTCCAGCGGACGCTGTGTGGACGCTGTGTGGACGCTTTCTGCCCCTGGCCCTGGCATCCACACTCAGTGCAG